ACTAACTACATCCTTCTGTTGGTTTATCTCCCCTTAGTTTGAAACTCAGAATCAGACATTTAAGTGTTCAAAAATCATTGCAGTCTCAATTTTCTCTGTATTCTAGAGACTGGGCCAGTCAAATTTCAAGTCAACAACATATGGACCTAAAGTGAGTTTAGTAAGGTATTCGTTTAGCTCTGGTGTTAGACTGGGTGTGTGTGTCTGTAGGATCAACAGGTCACATCGTTATATAGTTATACTGAAGGTTATTGTATAATTTCCGTCTGTTATTTCTGTACGCAGTCCAAGTTTTACTGCAGACAAAACCTGTTAAATTGTGTATCAATACAGAAAGTTATATATTAACACATGGATGCTGTTATGTCTAGCATGTTGGTTTTTTTTTTATAAGTTTTTTGGGATTGTTAAAGATCAACCTATCTATATTCCAGACAGTACTAATAGAAACTGTATTATAATCTTTATTATTCTCATTAAAAATTCTGGAAGAAATTGAGATATTCCGCCCAACCCTACTGTTCATTGTTTACTAGTTGTTGACCCAAACATAGATATTAAAATAAAAATAAAAATAAATTAAAATGTACTGGAAACCAACAAAAGGCGTCTATTAAAAATCTCCTATTTAAATCATGTTGCCTGGTATTGTAACAGAGGTCATTGTTTGTTCTATTATGTCTCTGCCAGAGGTCGAATCCGGGACGTCTGGCTTACCAGTCTCACAGTGAATGAACCGAAGGGACATTTTGATAAGTCAGTAGGAATTTGAAGCGACTAGTATTTTACCAGTAAAACAGGATTGTGAATATGGTTGTGATACAGGACTCTATCAGTAGTTTCAATGTACTGGTACTGGGCTGTTTCACCGACTGACCTACTCTAAAGCCTGAATCTAAAACTCAGATTTTTTGTAGGTTGTCGTAACAGTAATAGAACTTTACAATAGGATAACAGGGACACACTCAGGGGCCTGTCCCAACACAGTACAATAGGATAACAGGGACACTCTCAAGGTCCTGTCCCAACACAGTACAATAGAACTTTACAATAGGATAACAGGGACACTCTCAAGGTCCTGTCCCAACAAAGTACAATAGGATAACAGGGACACACTCAAGGACCTGTCCCAACACAGTACACTAGAACTTTACAATAGGATAACAGGGACACTCTCAAGTTCCTGTCCCAACAAAGTACAATAGGATAACAGGGACACACTCCAGGGCATGTCCCAACACAGTACAATAGGATAACAGGGACCCTCTCAAGGTCCTGTCCCAACACAGTACTATAGAACTTTACAATAGGATAACAGGGACACACTCAAGGACCTGTCCCAACACAGTACAATAGGATAACAGGGACACACTCCAGGGCCTGTCCCAACACAGTACAATAGGATAACAGGGACACACTCCAGGGCCTGTCCCAACACAGTACAATAGGATAACAGGGACACACTCAAGGACCTGTCCCAACACAGTACACTATAACTTTACAATAGGATAACAGAGACACACTCAAGGACCTGTCCCAACACAGTACAATAGAATAACAGGGACACACTCAAGGGCCTGTCCCAACACAGTACAATAGGATAACAGGGACACACTCAAGGGCCTGTCCCAACACAGTACA